AGATGATAAAGCGAGTTAGAAACGAGTGCTCGATGATTACTGTCTTTTATCAATTATCCTGATAATCGACAAAAATACTGTACTGTTAGGCAGCTAGCATACGACTCAAAAAGAAGAGAAAGTTTGTTACCGTTTGAATGTCGGTCTTCCTTCACTTTCGTGATTAGGCCATTGTAGCGCCATTCCTTTCATTGAGCATACAGTGCGACACTGATGTCGGTTTCTATGCCATCAACCAAGAGTGCCTTATTTTTGAAGACAGTGTCTGCAGCCATATCGCTAGCGTAACATGTAGTATCGTGTTTCCTTCCCAGAAAGTGATAATCATTTATCAACTTCGGAAGGAAGAGAAGCGAGTGGCCCCGTGTAACTTCTGCAAAGTTGCTCTATTTGTTTTTGACGTGTATAGACACAGAAGTATGTAATGGAGGTACAATAATTTTTGCTGGTGTACGAATGTCTGATATATGTTAAATCGTGGATTTACTGCTTGCCCATTGAGCTGTACACATCAGAATAAAGAGCTTTTAAATTCGCTTTTAAATTTGAAAGCTTAATCTAGCTCAAAAAAAAACGTGGTTGATCTGTAGTTCTGTTATTTGTCTGATCAGTACCCATCGTCCTCCTGTCGTATTTTGCCTTTGTACTATTGGTTAACATCGTCAAGCTTTTTTATCCACTGCCGAATGAATGCTTCTCCAGGATTGTGCCATAACCTTATGTTTTCTGCCGGTTGCTATCGAACTCATTGATCCTGTGAACTTTTTTAGGGCATCTTGCCATTGATCTGAAGGTCTTCGTACTGACCGTTAGCCTCTTTTGGAATCCAGTCTAAAGTCTCTCTGGTTTAGTGTTAGTCTGTTCTTGTTGAAACGTGTCTTACTCATCACCTGCAACTTCTTCTCTCGTGTAATGACATGGTTGACTCCTAAATTTACTTTTACCGTCGTTCGTATTCTATTTTTTCTTGTTATTCCCAACGTATATTTTTGCATTCTGTACTGCGTAGTCTCCAGTTTATGAATATCTTTCAGGAGTAAATTAATGTCCCGCATAAATACGTTCGAAATAATTTTGTCGATATTTCGAATCGCGCTGTGTCTCTCTTCAAGAACTGTATCGTGCTAATAGAAGAAGAACAGGAAGCTCAGTTTTGAGGAGTAGGCTCTTTAAAGAGTATCGTGATAAAAAAACTCGGCATCCGCATAAATCATTAAAGTAATCTTGTTATCATCATTTATGACTTATTTTTGCATTTAGTTTTTGTCGTCTTCATCGTCCTCTGCTTACCACGTGGGATGACCGAACCAGACGTAGGCAGTTCTGCTTCTACTTCCAGTCCTAGCAAACCAACAAAAGCCCTGCCGCATCATCGTTTCGTTGGCTTTTGCACCAATCGCCCAAAATACCGTCAAGGCAGGAAGCAAACTGCAGTGAAAGTAGCTGCTCGACACTTCGTTTTTTTCTAAAACAGCTTTAGCATTCGGTTTATTGCTTTAGGTTTACACAATCAGTTTGGAATCGCAGTTTCTTCTGGTGATTTCCGTACCTTCGCTGAAACTAGCCGAGGAATTGCGGCAATTATTCTCTGCTTACGGAGCAGTCGAAGAGAGCAGACTTGTACCTGATTACCCGACGGAAGTTTTTACTGAAGTTCACATGATCAAATTTTCAAGAATTCAAGATGCAAGGTAGTTGTTACGTTCGGGAACTTCTCGCTGAAATCTTTGGAATTTTTTTAAGTAAGAATTTTTAAGTACGCGGTTTGTAATCTTACTAATCAACAGTATTATTCTTTTATTAATACAGTATATCTTCGTTTTGGCAAAGGGGTTTTCTTAAAATCAAAAAGTTCTTAAAACAGCATATTTGCGAGATCAGGGATCCATTAAATAACAAATTGTGTATTTTGAAGCTCATCGC